GCAGATGCTCTTCTCAGCTTGTCACTGCTCAGGGGGTGAATGTTCCCAGCAGCAAGGCGGCAGGAGGTGGTAGGTACTCATGGGCTAGGTCTCAGCAGCTTTTCTTTATGTTCCGTAGAGCTGCTAGGGTGCTGCAGGACCATCTGTGTTACTGAAGACAAGAAGCTCTCTTTCCTTCGGCAGTCTGAATTACTTGATGAGATTGGCAACCTGGGGAGCTGTTGCGGCAGCAGCAAAAAGCTGTTCTGGTGATTGGCATCTGAGAGTGAAACTAAAGTCTTCCGTCCTCCTTTGAGGCAGCAGAATTTAGTTTTAGTTGCTTTGAAACTTAGATGTCAAGATTGGTTGGTGTGACTTTGTCTAGTCATCGTTTCTGTAGCTGATGTTGCTTTGTGTCATATATGAATGTATGGGGTGTAGACATCAAGGTTTTGGTGGTGGTGGGCTGCAGGGACAGTCTCCGTGAGGAGAGGCTGGGACTGCCTCGTGCCGCACACAGCCAGTTCCAGGCAGCTCCACTAGACCCGCCGCAGGGCACAGCTGAGCCCCTCAGCCGAGCTGGTGGCACCTCTGTGATAATGTTTAAGAAAGGACCAAGCACCACAAAGCACCACACAGGCAGTGAGGAGTGAGGGGCAAAAAAACGTGAGGACCAACACTGCAACCCCCAAGGTGAGAGAAGGAGGGGAGAAGGTGCTCCAGGCGCTGGGGCAGAGATTCCCCTGCAGCCCCTGAAGTTTTGGGAGAGACCACAGTGGAGCAGGTATTCCCCTGCAGCACATGGAGAGGACCACGCTGGAGCAGATATCCACACTGGCCTGTGGATGACCCCAGGCTGGAGTAGGTTCTCCTGAAGGACTGCAAGCTCGTGCGAAGAACCCGTGCTGGAGCAGGGAAAGGTGTGAGGAGCGAGGAGCTGTTACGGACTGTCCACAACCCTTCATCTCCCTGTGGCTGCCTGGGAGAGGGGAGGAGGTAGAGGGGTTGGGAATGAAGTTGAGCTGGGGGGAAAAAAGGGGCAGGGGAAAGGTATTTTAGTTTTTGTCTTTGTTTCGCACCATCCAACTCTATTTTAATTGGCAATAAATTAAATTCATTTTCCCCAAGTCAAGTCTGTTTTGCCTGGGACAGTAACTGGTAAGTGATCTCCCTGTCCTTATCTCTACCCATGAGCATTTTCATCTTATTTTTTCCCCCTGTCCCTGGGAAGGGATAGTGAGAGAGTGGCTGGGTGGGCATCTGGCAGCCAGACAAGGTCAACCCACCACAATGACATGCAAGAACATATGTGTAGAAATATATATGTATATATGCATTTTTATATCTATACATAGTAAGTATAATACATAATAATGTAAAGTACATAATAATGAAGTCTATAAGACTTCAGACCAGATAACACCATGATGGATTTCTGGTGTGGAGATGGTCAGTCAGTCTATCTTTTGTTACGCTGATGTATGTGGCTCCTTAAATCTCAGGGGAGACTATGGTGTTGGTGGAATGGCTGGCATGGATTTCACTTCCATGTTAAGGCTAAGTCATGTCAATGAATTCTTTGTACGGAAATTCGATCCAGCATCTGGATGCTTTAACAGATCTTGTGGAGTTTCAGAGGAACGATTTGGGCATGTCTACTCCTGTCTATATTAAGACCATGAAAGCTAGGATTTCTCCACCAGGTTGTTTTATCTACAGTGAAGAAATGATGGCCTATGGGGACATAAGTGCCTATAATTGCAGTAGGGGACTATAACTTTGTGCTGGTTTTCTGAAATGTTTTGTAGGGGTCTTGCTGTTGTTTCATGCTGATTGTATGGGGAAACTGCTTTGTGGGAAAAAGAACTAAATGTCATGCAACTGTAGATGAGAGTGATGTCAACAGTAGACTTTGATGTTTCACAACATGCTTGACATTAAGTAAGAGTATTTTTTAATGAAAGCACTGTTTCACAAGTATATATTGTTTTTGTGACTTATGACCCCTAGTCATTAGAAAATCCCACATCCTTCTTTCTGATGAAACTTCTGGGCTGCTGGGGAAACCATAGTGAAGATACTGATACACTGACTTTTCTGTCGTTTTATCGAGACCTTTAGATGTGAACTGCTCAGACTCTGTTGTATGAATGCATTTCTTTCCATTCTCCTGATCTGCAACTCTGTCATCAACTTGTTACCTCTAACAGCCTGTCTGAATCTTCTCATCTTTCTTTCATCAGGCTTTTTGATTATTTCCTAATCTTTCATCCATCAGAGACTTTATTTATAAATTATATAAATGACTGTATTACCAGGCATCTTTAAGATAAACGAAGCAAGTTGCTTGTATTAATTAATAAACCAATGACTAGCCATTTCAAGAGGAAGGGAGTGTAACATTTTTCCTAGTGTAGGATGGGAACCGTAGCAGCTGTAAGCATCCAGTATTTAGTGATCTGATAAAAGTTTCTGTTTAGGCTGTGTTTGTGCTTGTGGAAATAAGATGCCCGTGATTACAGTGTTAGTTGTTTGCATTCTTGGTTTGTTAGGACTCCTAGTGATCAAGCTGAGTTGGGTCCAGGGGAATGGAGTTTATTTTGGTGTGTTCATAGCCTTAATTAACAGAACTTTTTCATTGGATCCAAGATCTCAGGGGAGACTATGGTCAACAAATAAATTTTAATTAGCTGTGTGTTAATTAGTGTAAACCTTCAGTGCAAGGAAGGATTTCCTTGTGATGTGCTACCAAACCAAATTTTCAACCTTTGCCTGGTAGAGTGGGGGCCCTATTTCTGTATACAAAAATTGTAGAATAGAAACAGTTCTTGCCCAAAAGATTTTTTTTTTTTTTTTAACCAGTATGAAACAAGTGTAAGCAACCAGGGGATACAAGGAAAAAACACTTCAGCTTTATTAGGCATTGATCTCCAGCACTGGCAGCTTAGGCACTGTTGGATTTATATAGATGCTGTTACTAAACGTTTTGGAGGCACTTAAGAGAGCTTGAAGGAATTGAAATAAATTTGCAGTTTTTGAGCAGATCCTCCCAAGTGTGAGGGACAGTGTTTAGGAGAAGGTACTACAATGTGCGTTTGAAAAGTCTGATGAGATTGATGCTATAAGAGGGGCAAGAGTCTCTTAATACTGAAACAGGAACGAGTGCTCGGATCCTTGCTGTCATTTAAATTACTGTGGCATGCATAGGTGAATCTCTATCACCCTGTGTAACCCTGTTATGTCAACTCATGACCTTGTAACTTGTTTCTGGAGAGTGGACCATAATTTGTATATTACTGTGTTTAATCGAGGATATAGCTTTGAATGTAAGCACTTAGTGGTAGCGGACAAGGGGGAGAATCCAGACTTTGACCTGTAAGATAGCCAGTCACATAGGCTGTGTCTTCTGTGCAGATTAAGTTGCCAGCGTGTGTGACTTGGTGAGTCTCAGCTGACCTGGCCAAAGATGTCCCGGAGAGGACACCTGTGAGGAGGACTTCCATCAGTGTGCTGTAGACAGTGACTGGCCATCTTCGCTACGAGTTTTTTGATCAAGGTGTACCCCATTTCAAAGATACCAGTTAAATTCACTTACCAGTGCAATGCTGCAGTCTTTCATGTTACTCTGGTGAAAACTGTAAATTTGCCTGCTCTTAATCTCACTGAAAACTGAATAGTTAACCACAATTTGGTTAACTAACTAGATGGAAACTCTTGTTATGAATGCTTGTCTGCTATCAATTCTAAATGACCTTATCTTCCTATACTTTGCTGCTTGGTAACTGTAAAGGCTTCTTCCACAGGGGTGATTTCAGAGCAGTATGTCGTTGCCACTCTTAAGAGTATCAGTGATGGCACAGTGCCTGGGGGTTGTGAGCTGGGCCAGGGCTGAACTATCTGAAAACATGTAGCTTTTTCCCTAGTTCTGTGTAACCTGGCAGACATGCTGGCATTATTATGAAGAAATCGAGAAGCTCTGCATCTTCAGATCTGCTTAAGCTACTGGATAGCTACACCTTCAGAGTTAGGAAAGTCTTGTTCATTCGCAGCAAGTAAGTTAAAACAGTATTAAGTCAATAAAGTTGATTAGGTGGCGATGCTATATAATGAATAATGCTTTCTTTGGGCATGCGTATGTTGAGTACTACATCTTCTATAGTTAGTTCATGGTCAGTAGCAGACCAGTAAGTATCGTAGTTCTTGGTAACCAAACTGCTCCAAGGGTGACGTTAAGAGTACATGAGCTCTGTTTTAGTCCCGTTTAGTGTGAGCTGACAACTTAGCATTGACAACGATGTCAGACTGACACTGTCCGTTGAACGTAAGGAGACAGATCCTGAGCAGAGACACAGATCTGAGTAGATAGTGCAGTGACGGGAGCTGAACTTGTTTTGCAGATGAGATCCCTGAGACAAGATATTGAGGAAAGAGAGACCTGAGAATAGAGAGAGCGTTGATGAAGAATGAAGATCCATGATGGGAACAATAAGAAAAGATTAGTAAGTAAGTAAGAGTAGTAAGATGAGTAAGTTAGTAAGAGTATGAGTGTCGTGTCCTATTTCAAGAATAGGAGGATTGTCTGAGAAGGAAGATGAGGATGGAGTCTTTTCACTGAAGTGTGTGGGATGAAAATTTAGCTGGTCAGAGTTGATGTAATTGGAGTAAAACTGCTCCAACAACACTAGTGATGAAAAAGAGATGGTTGAAGAGGCACAAGTGTTTTTTTCCCAACGGTTTTGATGGTAGGTGAGAAAAATAGAAGTATCTTTCTGTTGAAAAGACGAATTAAAGCAATTGAAGGCTAGAAGAGATATTCAGAAGGAAATATTGGGGCTACGGGCAGTTGGACAGGGTGATGGGGTCAAGGAGGATCTATGGGAGGAGAGCAAATGTTTATCTTTGCCCTATGTACCTTGCAGACCTTCTGTTCCTAAAGCTCTCATCTCTCTCAGACAGTGTCCTGTGATAAATTTCTTCCTCTTGGGAGGAGCTAAGGCTGAGTAAGCTTGAGGAATGGAGCAATGGGTAAGTGTGACTGCAATATGACTCAAAATTCAACTGTCTCCAACTGAAGTATTTAAATAGATGGAGGAGCTGGAAGAAGGATGTAACCCTGGCAAATGTGGAAAGAGAAAGAAAAGAGCTAGAGCTGGAGATGATCCATGTGGATTTTATAATGGCAGAGGAGGCCAAAGAGTTCAAGGTAGTGGGAACTGCCACCATATCAGTGAAAGTACAGGAGTAGAGGGCTAAGGGTGAACAAATGTCAAATGTTATGGCCTCTCTACCACTTCCAAGCAACCACGTTAAGATTTGAGGAGCTTACGTCTCATGCTGTAAGTCAACAGAGGCAGGAAAAATTTTTCTGAAGCGATGCACACTGAAAGAGCAAATAAAGTGAGGGACTTTTTTTAGGCTAGGGGGAGAGAATGAGCAAAGAAAAACATGAAGTTGAGACAACAATAGGACATACGAAAATTAAACTTGCTGAAAATATCTGTACAAGAATACATAGTTCCTGCCTTCCCAGACTGTAGGGAGAAGTTGGATTTTTTTTTTTTCTTTTGCTTCGCTACAGTTCTCTCATGGGTTGCTAGTGAGTTAGAACAGTGACTTCTTTACATTAAGCAGATCTGTGCTACCCACTGCCTGTGTGCGGCAAGGCGTTCTGTGTACCACATTCAAGCAGACAATATCTGTGCAGACTCTGTTCCTCCTACACAAACGCTGAGAGCGTCTTGCTTGTTTAATGCTTGAAAGGGAGGCTTGTTCTGTGGCTTGGACTCAAAACAATGGATTTTAGTTTTTTTTCTTTTCTACTCCATTAGCTGGAAAAAATACATAAAGCACAGCAGCCCTGAGTTCATTTCATTGAATTGCTAGAAGCCTTTGTATGTTCCAAATAAATATTTGGTAATTGTTTTACAAAAGAATATTTTTTGGCCCATAGTCAGAGTCCATACAAGAGAAAGGAAGCTCTGATAAAACCTCTTGATGAAAATCCCCCTCCCTTAGGGTGCTGTTTTTCTTTCACTTGTTTGAAATGAGAGCAGTGATGACAGGGGAGTCTGAGGGATCAGGGATAACCTGACAGGACTGAGGAGTTAGTGAGTTTGAGAAGTGAATAGCATGGACTGTAAATGGCAAAGTGAATGAATGATGGTTTCTTTTGGTTTTGGTTATTGTAATTAAACTGGTATGTTTAATTCTCCCACCCTTGCAGTGCTTGCATGCTCATTCCGTGTCCCCTGGGCATGTGCTGTGCCTTCCCCTGGCTTGCCGTGCTTGTTGGGTGGGAGACAGCGGTTCCTACAAAGCCATGCACATAGTGATTGTTCGGTGTACCCAGATGGCCAGGGTGTTTTCATCCCTTCCATTGTTTGGCCATTTCATTGACTGAACTACAGCTTCCAGAGCTTGCAGGCGGTTTGTATTGCAGGGCCAGCTGCTGCTACCTGCTGTGTTTGGTGGCCCTGTGCTGCAGCCGGTCAGCTGGGGTTGCCCAATAGACTTGGTAGTCTTGGGGCGAGGGAGGAAGACTGGAAGTGGCAGACCTCATGTGAGCTTTGTTTTCTTGGGGAACGAGGCTTAAAGTTGCATATGTAAAAGATGGTTTCTAAAATTCTCTATGGAGCATGGGCTTTGCTTAATTTTAAGCTCTGATAAAATAACCTGGTTTATGGCAAATCTACACCTTAGGATGGTCATATCGCTTGAAAGAAGCTTTCTGTCTAACTTTTGAAGGCTGCTGAGCTGGTAACTCTCACTGACTAAAAGCATAAACCCCATGATTTAAGGACTTAACGTAGGTGGGTTTTTCTCTTTTTTTAAACTGTCTTTGACTGGAATCTTTCTCTTCAGTTTGCCTACTTCAAGAGCTAGTTTATTCAAAGTTGAGAAATAAACCAGCTAAGATACTGAAAAAGCAGGAAGGCTTGCTTTCCTCCTCTAATAAGTGAGGAAAACCCCTGAATTTAAGAAATTGTAGCCCAGAAACATAGACTCAATGATCACAAGCAGATTACTAGTACCATCTGTATGCTGAAAACCATGGTTTAATAAGAATCAAAACTTACTTGAATTATCGGGGGCACATGTCACAGGCGCACCCACCCACAGTGATTTCACAAGATTTTTGCTTTCACATGGATGTGACATAAATGCTGAAAGACATTCTTCTGTGATGTCACAAGATCACTCTTTGTTTCTTAACATAAACTTGAGTGAATGTACAGATGTATCTTTGCTTAAATCTGGATAGGGATAGTGTCTTTGCAGTTTAAAAGGTGCCAGATAAAGAATATGTT